GAAAATAATTTACATTCAGACTAAATAGTATCTATAGATATTTAATATATGTATATAAACAATTAGTATAATTTGCTTGCGTGTCATTGCGACAGATAGTCTACAAGTAAAAGTAGTTTTAACATGTTCGAACATCGCTGGCACAGTCTATAGAGTCTCGATAAAGGAACCAGTTTTAACCACCTGTGTTCTAAACCAAACCTGTTTTAAAACCACAAAAAACCTCGCCACACTCATGGGATATCGTACACCATTGTCGCCACAAAGCTATGAAACAATGGCATTAAATTGTACGTATTATATGACACTGAAACATCGTCAGTAAGAATATTTGATAAGAGATTCTAAGAAACAATCTATAAGAAATTATTTAATATGTAACATAAATAATTACTTCATTACGTAATGAATTATAGTTGACAATATGATCATTAAGTTCACTGATAATTTTACTTCTCACAACACATTTACATTAAAATATTAGACGTACAACACATAATAGTATTGATTCAAAATATACTGAATTTATACCTTATATATGCGGCTTTAAACTAGGACTACATTAAAGAAAATTCACTTCAGTTATAATTAAACAAACAAAAGATAATTTTAAAAACATACGCTTTGAATTTTTTTTAATAATAAATGTATGTTTGTTGTATAGAAATAGATTCCACAAACAAGCGAGTCAAATAGGACATAAAACTATCAACGGCCAGCCGTACTCAGAACTGTAAAGCGTTACCGGTATCTATTAAGATATTATTATTATTAGCGGAATCTTATTTTATAGATAATTTGTGTGTAATGAGATACGGAACCGATCACTCGAAAGTTACAGACGTCTAAACTATACACTTTCACGTAAATAGATAATAGAATATTAATGATCAATTTTATTATGATGGAAAAAATATATCGAAAATTTAAAGACTATAATTATATATTTTTAATCTTTACATATTAAAAATAAAACAAGAAGTATAAACCTAGTATTTTTTTAACAAAATATCTTTAAATAACAGTTCTAAAATTCATAAACAGGTTAATAAATATTTAAGTCAAAACGCGGTTAAAATTTGCATAGCAAACAAACGTGGCCGTGTCAAATATTGAGAATAATATAACAAAATATTTAAAACGTCCTCAGTAATTTACGTCTATGTATTATATTTTAAAGAATACTAAACTGTGTTCAAATCAACCTCGAGATTATTACGTGGAAAATATTGATTTATCATTCGTTTTAATTATAACTATGAGTGATTAATGCTTAAATCTTCTCCATGTGAGAAGAGGCCTTTGGTCAGTCACTACTGATAGGGTGATGATGATGACTTGTACCCAAACATAAACTAATAAAAAAACATTTTTTTTTTCAGCAAAAATGCAAGTAACTTAAATTTTTCCAAATAAAATTTCCAAATGTCGTGTCATTATAATCAATGTATCATTAACATGCGTATGTTATACAAAGAAACTGTAATGTAAACATTACTTTAAGAATTTAGCCTTAATATTTCAAGGGTCTAAAGTTTGAACGAAAACCAATAAAATAAACAAACCTCGCGCCAGACAAATGTCAATGTCAACGGGATTAGATTGTCTAAGGATTTAATATTTATTAATTATTGGGTGTTGCTAATACGAGTAATACAATCGTGACATATGTATGAAGATCTTGAAATATTATTTAAAATAAAACCTCTTTTGACAGTTCATTACGTAAAACAAAACCTTTGACAGTTTACTGAAGAGTTTATTACTGTAGTGCAATAAAGAGAATATACTAAACATGTACTAGCTTTACATTTACTATTGATTCAACAGTACAATGTTGAGAAGCCGGTTTAATAGTCTTAACATTATAATCGATACGTGGCTACGTGATCGTGCACATTTATAAAGTATGCACTTGATAGATAAAACAGTGTTTAGTTTAGTTTCTTCCTTGAGCTATAGTGCAGGTAGTCACTAAGTCTTATTTGTAATAATGTACTAGTGCAGAACCAGTTGCTACAGCTGATACTTGTATACTATAACACTAAATATCGAACTAGTTCGCACAAACTATAGTTAGTTTTTCTGACGGGGTCAACGTAACTCGGCCCGTCAACAAATCCGTAGACGAGAATAACCCGTTACTGCATCGCCTTCCAGCGGATTTCACTTGCGAACATTGCCATGGAGTATAGACCATTAGAACATTTTATACCTCATGGCTTTATGACCGATTTATGTGTTGCTAACCTGAACCGATATTACAAGTTTTATAGAGTCTAATAACGCTCCTATTTATATTGAAACCAGGAAGGAAAAATTTGCATGTAGAATATTTCCTTGATAATTATTTACAAATATTCTTTTATTTTACTCGATGTCGTTATTGTGTGAGAAAATATCTTAAATGTTATGTCGAAATATCATATCTTACAAATACATCTCAACTTAAAATTACTGTAGAGGATAAATGCTGTCACACTTGTTATTATTATCTCAGTGATCGATGTTTTATTGATAAAAGTATGAATTTATCGTAAGATCTAAAACATGGATCTATGTTAGTTGAACTTGATAGTTAAACTTAAATAATCTTCATATACAATCATTTTAAACGATAAACATTAAGTATTTTGCAACGTATAATTTTCTAGAAGAACGTCAGTCAACTTTCCTAATATATTTTTTTTTTTGTATATAAATCTATCTACCTCGTATATAAAGTTCCTTATATAAAGTTTAATGGGACTACAATTAATTGTCTGTTACAATTTCTTTTCGTTTTCTTCAACATGATCGATACTCAGTGAAAGGTGGTATTATAACTTTTGATTGATATTTCATTCACTTGTAATGAATGCAACATGTTTAACTGCCTGTTCTATGTAGTGTTGTATGTAGTTTGTAGTCCTGTGTAACTAAACTACCAGTTGCCAGACAAATTATATATAACAGGGGGACTATTTGATTCATGGACATTTCTCAAGCTCATTTTCTGTGATACCTAAATAATAATTTCAAACAAACGCATTGCAAGAGGTTGGTAATTATGAATAAGGAGATTGTATTTATTTTAATAAATATAAATACAAAATCGTAGTCACGTATTACAGTAAAGTTAAATATGTAATATAATTAAATTGAGGTCAGTCTATCTATAAATATCTTTTGCATAAATAAATTGTTAATCCAATTGTTAGTGCTACATGACTCGGTAACTATTACCTTAAGTTGAGACACGACTTACAGATCATGAATATTATATTATATTATGTTATTTTCATACATATTATATATAACCGACTGTCACATTACCTATATATTACGAGTAATATATTAACCGGTGAGAAAAATTTTAACCAAAGTTTTGACACACAAAAACAGTTACATATTAAAACCATTCACACGACGCGACGGACTGCATTAAAATTGTTATCTTGTTTATAGCACTTCACTAGCATCAACCACATTTTCTTTGAGTAAAAATGCGGTATGCGGTTAACCTTAGTATTGGAAGCATTGATTTTTCGTGGTGACGTCAAAGCGGTTGGACGCAACGCGCCGGTCCGCGTCTCACCGGCAACTGAGACTCGACTCGACTGTCTCACTACACTAGTAGACAGTAGACAGTAGACAGTAGGAAATACCGTCGACATGCTGTCGTGTCAGTTAATGCGACCTTTTGCATTGATTTGTGCATGCAGATTGGAAAAAAACGGTGTCGAATGTATGTTTACTTCAACAGTACCTACTTAATGTGATTACGAAATAATAAAGCATTTAAAACGGTCTGGTATTAATTAATTCATAAAAGATTTATAGTATTGAATGAAGTTTAAATGAGTTCTTAATTTGATCTGTTTAATGGTACCATTATTCAAATAAATAACAATATTGATAGTATATAGTCTTAGGTTTGACATAAGAGTAAAAAGTGCATCAACTTGGGGAATACGCGACTTGAAACCAAAAAAAAATTGAAAAAATACCGGTTACGTTCCAACTTCGTAAAATACTAAAACATATTCTCGCTAGTGAATTCTTTTTTTTCTTTATACAGGTACTTAAAACTAACTTCTGCATAAACTTTAAATTAGTGTATGCACTAATGCACTAACTTTATGCTTTCTAAATTCAATTACTAATTATTTTCAAATACTGTTTTATGTGATTTTAAGATTAATCAACGTGTATATAATTGTTATAAAATTTCTAAACTCGTTAAAGTTTCCTTTTTTTTTACCTAATAGTCTCCTTTTTATTTAGAAAATATGTATGTTTATACAGATCAATTCATCTATATTTTAAGACTAGGAAAAATAATAATAAAATTCTATGTAAAATAATCTTTTTAGAGAACTTAATTTATGAAAATGCACATATAATTAAAAAAGTCTCTTAAGAACATTGTTCATAGTCAATTTTTCATTACGAACTTTTGCTATCTGATATTATCAGGCGCTTCATAATAAAGTTAGTTTTAAAGTACATCATGGAACCTTGGTTTTATTTGAAGTTTTTTTTTCTTAACTATTCAGATTTTTTCTATCTATTTACATTTCAAAACAAGTCTATGGAACATTTTTTTGGTTTGTTAAACAGAACAATTGTGGAAATCGTACAGTTTTCAAGGAAATTTATGTAACTTCCGTCTTCAAAACTTACTGATTCTCTCGGACCAAAATGTATGGAAAAAATACACTCGTAAATTGAAATTGTTAGTATTGAAACGAAATTTATGTATTTAATTATTTATAGTAAAGTAAGTATTTACGAGTATAGAAATACCTGTGTAACCAATTCGAAGATAAGTTGTAATATATACAGAATAAAGTTGATGGGACTCTTATTTTAATTCTTATTACATAGGAGTAAATTAAAACCAACTCCAACTAAAAATAAAAATGTCTCCAATTTTCTATTCATGATTTTATCAAATATACACTTTACGACAGTCACATAGAGTATATTTTTGAGTATCCACAAAAAGGTATACTTACGGAGTAAAGGAAATCGGCTGGTTGAATGTTTTCCTAGCGGCGTGCTGGAAGCGCTGATATCGCTTTGAGAACTGTGAAGGCTGCTCTTACCGCTGCCGTTAGCTGAGCCGATATCCATGCGCATACGCATATGACGACTGTGGAATATAATACATAATAAATACCAATGCTATATTGCTTTGTTCAATATTAAATTCTCATTCAACTGAATATAATACACTAGCTTTTGCCGCGGCTTCGTCCGCGTGGAATAGTGACTTCCGGCAGATTATTGGTTCTTCCCACATAGTTCCCGTTCTTGCGGGGTTTTCGGAATGGTCGAGTTCCCGTAGAATTTTCAGGATAAAACCTATGTTTTTTTTTATTCACAATGAAGTTCTCTTAATCAACAACATATTTATTTGTTTATTTGAATAAAGATTTATATTATGTTGATACAACTTAAACAAATTATTTCGACCAAATTAGGTACCATAAAAACGGTTTTTGTGAGTTAATCTTAAAAGATAGACATATACTGTCGAGGACTGTTTTTTAGATCATTAAAAGAGCTATTATTCTTTCATATATATTTTTTGTGTATCTTGAACCGTTTTCACGGCACACGCAACGGAAGGCTTCAAAGATGAAATAATTTCTCCCGTTTTTTACACATTTACCACTATATCTTTGCTCCTATTGGTCGTAGCGTGATGTTATATAGCCCACAGCCTTCCTCGATAACTGGACTATCCAACACAAAAAGAATTATTCAATTCGAACCAGTAGTTTCGGAGATTAGCGCTTTCAAACAAACAAACAAACTCTTCAGCTTTATAATATTAGTATAGATATATTACCTTTTAGGTTTATTACTGCTGTTCGTAGATTTTGAGCTCAGCAACCTCGTGACGCTGCAAGATGTTTGGGAACGTTGGAGAGTGAAGGAACAGTCCACTTTAGATTTAATATCTTTGAAAGATTTCGTCTTATAATCAATTTTTATATCCATGTTCTTCTTCAAAAAGTTTTCTCTCCTATCAGCTTTCTTCGCTGTTTTCGGACTGCTCTGTATACTGTTGTCAGCGTCGGTTTTTCTGCTGGCTAGCATAGTTTTTAACTTACTAGGCACATCACGTTTAGGCATTTTGTACTTCTTTAAAGTGAAACTTCTTTTCTCCTCTTTTTTGTCGTTGCATCTGACATCTTTGACGCTGTTCAGAGAGTTTCTTTTGCTAGTGTTCTTAGGAGTCTCATCTTCATCTATGATATGTGAAGCGTCAGAATTCTGTTCTTCCACAGTATCTTCCACAGGAGTGAAGCACGTTATAACTTTACCGTGACCGACGCTCTTTTGGCTGCATTCAGAGTGTGTTGATGTTGTGGATACGGGAGACATGTCGTTGATGACGTTAAGGAAAACAGGAGACGCACGATGGTTCTCAAAATCGGTATAAACACCGCTGGATTCCATGCACGAATCTTCGCTTCTGTTGACTATTAAGGGAGCATTCCCGTTACTATTTTTGCCGCCATAAAGTGCGCCGTCAATGACTTGTGCCCTCCTATCTCCTCGTTGGATGTGCTCATCTAAACCATCAGCGTCGCTTTCAGTGAAGAAATCTGAATCAGTCATCGGATCAACTCGACGTGTCACGGGTACATTTTGCCAGTCCATTTCAATAGCGTCTTCCCTTATAGAAGCGTTATGCTCAGCACTTCGACTCACTGGTCTGGACATTTCACCGTCACCCTGATAGCCATCTAGACTCGTAATACTTGTTATGCTGGTAATAAAACTATTAGATACTTTAGAAGTTTCCATTGATTTATCGTTCTTGCTGTCGGAATATGTTTGTGAGTCGTGCAATGTGGACGCAGAAAACTGTGAGTATGTACTTATTTCACCATTGATATCCGAGCTATCGAGAGGTAAATCTTCAGGTGAAGGGGTCTGTTCTATTCTGTTAGTTAACAACGATGTTCCATGCTTGCAGTCTAGAGGTATCTCTAAATTGACCGTTGTGTCTGCAATGGAGCTAGCAGGCTCTAATATGCTGCCGTGTATAGATGGTAAAAACTCCTCATCGATGAAGCTGGCAACGGTATCTTTTTTTATTATTTCACTTTCATTTTCAATTGAAAAATTTTCTTGTTCGGTTGTGTCTTTGATGGAAAGACAGATTGGTTTGAAATCATTTTCCTCGCCGTTAAGAGGATCGATAGCATCCAACGTAGCTATAGGTGCTAACGATTCTCTATGTTTGGTAAATTTATTCATACTTTCAAATCCATCATTCTGTATAGTTGAAGCCGCTGAATTGCTTTCTGTTTTATCAGTTGATGGAGTATCTCCATTATCCGGGGATGTTTTATAATCACTGTTATCACAAAAGTTTGGCAGACCTTCCACGGTCGGAGAAAATGCGTTTTCCAAGTAACATATGTCGTCCATCTGATCCGGCGTGAGTATTCCCAAGCTGTCATCTAAAGAGTTTTCTTCGTTGTTTCTGCTGATTGAGTTGTCGTTCGGACTTAAATTCGTTTCGTACGTTCGAGAATTTATATGAGATTTCAATTGTAAACAGAGATCAGACCTCGATTGTGTACTGAATGGTTTTTTAACTGGATTGTGAAAATCATTTTCGCAGGAGTATTCGAATTCCTTTAAAGGTTTATTGTCGAAATTGACTACGTTTGGCAACCGATCCATACTTTTGTTAGTTAAACTTGTAAGTCCACTCAAGCTCTGTGACTTAGATTCTAGGAGGTCTTCATTACCCTTCGAACACCATGAATCACTTGATGATATTTGCTTTGCTGAAGTTGATGGATTTGTATGGAGATCGAATAAAAGGCTGTAAGGTCCAGATTCATCTAAATCTTTCTCCTCTATAAGTTGTTCGTTTATGAATCCTTTGGTCATCTTATCGACGTTTCGATCCTGTTTCTTTGTTATTTCATTCAGTTTCTCCCTAAGGTCTAATATACGCGGATTTCTTACATTTATCTTCTCAGCACTATAACTCATTTTAGGTATTAAAGAAGTGAAAGGCCTAAAACATAGCTTCTCTTTTACATCACAATTCCCTTTGGCATCTGAATCGAATCTTTTATCTTGAATATCTTTGCTTACATCAGATAAATGCAAACTTTTCAGCGTAGACGGTTCATTTAAATAAATGCCTCTCAGACTTAAAGATCTTGATTTGCCATGTCTATCGATTGGGATCTGAAAAAACAAAAAATATATTTCATTATGATTGATATAAATTTATGATTTTATCTAATCAGGACATTAACAATCTCAGAATTTATTAAGAAAAATACTATAAGATTAACTTTTTGAACAATAAAACTTTGTATATTTTCAAAGCAATGCACATAAACGAGTAAAAATTTAATCAAGGTTAAATCCAAGGACTTAGTTGTTTGTGGTCAGTTTAATTAATTCTGAATGCATGATAATGTTTTTACCACTACCTGATACTGATGAATACAAAACAAGGATTTATGCGACAAAAATGACGATGTAAAGTCAAATAGATATCGACATTTTTGCTTATTTTTAATATAGAAATATGTTCCTTTCGTTTACCATTTTGTTTCAATACACTTAAATGACGGATTATTTACTACTATACAGGGTGACTGGTGAATTACTATCAATATTTAAGGAGAATACTCGGTACATGATTCTCATTCGAATTATGTAAAAAAAAATAGGTACTTAATTTTTGACAAAATTGTGTGTGTGTGTGTATACCTAATCTGTAGGGTGTTCACACGATGCGTAATTAATTACATAACTTTTGGTTAACTTTACTTAGAAGTTTATTAATATTTATGTTATATTAATTTTTATTTTGTCATATATGATCGTCAAATATCACGTCCTCAAGTATCGATAGTAATTCACCAGTCACCCTGGATATATTTGATCACATAGCATTGCATTAGTTTAAATGTTTGAACTCTGAACATCTATTTCAATTGAAAGGTAAATCACAAATGACCGTGAAGCTCTAAATAGTACAAGTATTCGTAAATGACATACTATTAGCAATATTTTACCAGCACTTTCGTAATCAAGTAGCGTTAATAATAATTAAAGTTCATAAAACACTATAAAAGGCAAATACTATTATATTTTTATATGTATAACTTGCAAACGAGTACAACCTTAAAAAAAATATTATTATTCTTTTATCTACTAATTATTATCTTTAAATCAACAAAATGTTTATGTTCTAAATTTAAATATATATTTTTAATGAAGTAATCTACGAGTTATATAGTATATAATTATATAATTATAAAAACTGACATCATAATAACGTTTTATATTTTTGAACGGATGGTATCATCCAGTACCACGGTTCAGAGACCAGTCACGGTTGGTGACTTTACATCACTCAGTACAATGGTAGCAGACATCGGAATTATTCATATAGGTATTTCATTTTAGTTAATAAAAACATATGATGTATTGGTTAATATTTTTGTTGTTTTACTTTTAACATCGCAAAATATACAACACTATATTCAAATGTAATATTATGTTTTTTAATTGTAAAAGTATTTATGGCCAGACTATTATTTCAATAAAACTATTATACCGTAATTCTAAAGCATACTTTAGACTTTAGAGCTATAAAAATATATCATTAAATACCATCAAAACAGATGAGGTTACAGATATTAATAATCTTTAATGAGTCTTAAATTCTATAATGAAATTATCGAATTACCTAACAGAGCGAATAGTCACGAATGCCTACTCAGTTCTTGTACAATACTTCTCAGTTTTCTCAGCCTGATTGCCGCGCCTCATTTACACTCATTAGAGTTAACCAATGTTACCACTTATGTGGAACGATATAACGAATGTATGAAACCCGGTTATAAATATCGTGACCATACTTTACGAACTATTTAAGTTTGATATTAATGAATAAAGAAATAATTTAATAGAATATATTATATTAATGTAATTAGTTGGTAATTTGTAATGTATTTTGAATTAAAGGAATGTCATAGTATGTAAAATTTAATTTTATTCAGTTGTGCCTTTTGCGACAATAATTAAGAATAGACTATTACTTATTGCAAGGTATAGGTATGTATATATTTACATACTATTTATCAATTATGCTTCCCTTCTCTCTAGTCAAATTTTGATGTTTTAACTTGTCTCTAGTCAAATGGTGATGAAATATTAACAAAATTCAAGTAACAAGAAGAAATTTAATTTATAATAAGTTTACGTTTAAATTTTAATTGTTCCATAAAGGTCACATGATACGAAAAAACTCTCGAATAAATTAAAATCATGGCTACACCTAAATTATACTACAGATATGATATTTTCAATTTAAAATATCACATGCAAACACAATAAAATATCAAAAAATATATCTGGATGTTTTTGCAGTAAAAATAACCGTTATGTTGTACCAACACAAAGGCAAGACAAATATTGATCGTAAAATACCCAAGAGTGTGAAGAAAACCTGTTTTTTATAGTGTTTTAAATCGGTTCAATGATAAAAATAACACAAAGGTAGTTTTGTATGGAAAATAAACTCGTTTCCTTGTATTTTTTGAATATAACAATACATTGACACATAGTCGAGATACTTAAATCGCATTTTTTTCCTTATAGTTTAATGAAACTAGTAATAATATTTAACAGTCAATCCTAGATAGAAACAAAAAATACTATGATTAAATAAAATAGTGAAATATAATAGCAAAACCATAAGCAGTTCTATTGTTAATAAAAAACACAAGGCGTAAAATAAATTTCCAAATGCGATTCATTTAAGATTTTTAACACATCTGTCAATTAAACAGCAGTATTGTACCCACAAAAGGACAATAGTTGTACAAATATAGAAACAAGTAATTAATTTGTATTATATCATTGTTTTTTCCATATATTTTTGTATGTACACGTGTGTATAGATTCAAAGTACGATTAAGGAAATACACTTGTAACGAAATCGTGATCATGAACCAGGTAGTACAAGCAATTAGGAAAGCTATTGATATTAATTAGTTTTAAATGGTTGTAAATGATTTTAGATACATATACAGGGTGACTGGTGAATTACTATCAATATTTAAGGAGAATACTCGGTACATGATTCTCATTCGAATTATGTAAAAAATAGGCGCTTAATTTTTGACAAAATTTCCGTATAAATAAATAAAGTGTTGACACGTTCCAAGTGTGGACGCGTGCGGCGGCGTGCTGATACAACACCACGCCGCCGCCCGCGCGTGTGTGTGTGTGTATACCTAATCTGTAGGGTGTGCACACGATGCGTAATTAATTACATAACTTTTGGTTAACTTTACTTAGAAGTTTATTAATATTTATGTTATATTAAGTTTTATTATGTCATATATGATCGTCAAATATCACGTCCTCAAGTATCGATAGTAATTCACCAGTCACCCTGTATATTGTGTATGACAGTCGCCATTTTGATTTTTTTTGTATCCAAACAAGACAGTATACATTCCAAATTGGAAACGTTGAAAAACCTTTACGTCGATAATGTTAAATAAAATAATAAATTTTAACTTCAGTATAAAACATTAAAAAAAGTATACGTTAAATAAAAAATTATTGAATTTGAACAAAATATACATATATAATACAAACTAACCACGTTGTTATCAATAGTTAGTTTAACGGCGCGTTCTTTGATAAGACGTTATTCAGTTATCTAGGGCACAGCATGTGATTTGAAGTCAAACTATTTGTATAGACTAAAGTAATGACTACATCTATAGTACATTAAATATCCATTCTTTATGACTATTAATATTTAAGTATTAATAAAAATATTTCATTTTTATCACCTAATTTATATATTTATTTTCAATTAAACTTTTACGACATCTAAATATTTATCCATGTGTTAATTTAATACGATACATTTAAATTCATACAAGGCGCATTCAACCTCAGAATTAATATTGAATATCAGAGGTCATACTGAAAATAATAATAAATAAAAAAAATAAAAACCAGCTCGATTTCGTGTCCGAGTTGTCTCGGCATAAACCTGGCGCCATGATAAACAAATTCCAGAGACAATGTGATATTATTTTAAAAGTAAGAAGGTAAACTTAAAAAAATATATAAAAACTCTTTAAAACGAACTCCTCGATAACAAATCAGTACAAACATTAGAGGTCCACAAAAAACTGACATTTAATGATGTTTTGACAATCATTACGTTTTTTTTTGTAACTCGCTTCTTGACTAGTGAGATAAGTTCAAGGATGTACATTGGATGTTTTTAAAGCATTCCTATTAATGCAAATGACCACTGAATATTTAGTTCTTATAGAAATAAATCTTTTATAAAATACTAGCTTTCCGCCCGCAGCTTCGACCGCGTGGAGTTCGGTTATATCGGTTTCCAAGAGAACCTTTCAAAAGTCTGGGATAAAAACTATCCTATGTTCTTTCTCAAGGTCAACTCTATCTCTGTACCGAATTTCATTAAAATCAGTTCAGTGGTTTAGGCGTGAAAGCGTAGCAGACAGACAGACAGACAGACAGACAGACAGAGTTACTTTCGCATTTATAATATTAGTAGGGATTCATTGGTAGTAATTCCATTCAAATAAACATCAAGCCGTGTTGCGAGAATTGTTATTTTCTTTATGTAATAAATATATTTTACCATATTTAACAATACTGAACCAGATCCTATTAATATAAATTGCAAAAAAACTCGAATTTACATAATTATGAGTTTTAAAATAGATGTTTTTTTTAACAATTCAGCGTCAATAGAAGTTTTTCCTTGAGAGGATCATTTCTGTCACTGTCAAATATGTCCATTAATATAGATTATAAATAATAATTTAAATAAAAAAAGAAAGTAAATGGCATCATCATATTATATAATATTTATTTTCGATATATAAGTACTTTTAAATTATCAGTTTAAAATTTGATGGGGAATAAATGTACTGATATAATGACAACAGATTATATATACAGGGTGACTGGTGAATTACTATCGATACTTGAGGACGTGATATTTGACGATCATATATGACAAAATAAAAATTAATATAACATAAATATTAATAAACTTCTAAGTAAAGTTAACCAAAAGTTATGTAATTAATTACGCATCGTGTAAACACCCTACAGATTAGGTATACACACACACTCACACATATGCGTGTGGCGGTGTAGTG